AAATCATTGAGCGAAATGGAAAACTGATCCGGGAAACGAACCGGAAGGTATAAGAGATTGGAGATTACCGATAACTGGTTCATTTTCGACGTGCATTTCTGCGGAATGGATTTTTTAATGGACTCTTAAATAAGTCCGCATTATCTGTCCATTACACGGCCTTTCCGGCCAAGGTTGCATATTACACGTATGGCATAAAAAATCCACCCGTCGCATTAATAATCCCCTTTGACCCCAGCGATTAATTTTTAATCTCGTGGATTTTCCGTAAATCTCGCGAGCCTTCCTTTCATCGTCGGTATTTAAAAATTACGAGCCCCTTTTCATTAATCTTCGAATTATACGTCTCCTCGAATTCCGAACTTTCCAGGAATTTCTGCCGTCGAGTCGCGGTGAGAAATATTTCGCTATTAATTGCCTCTCGGCGGGGAAATAAATTTTCCCCCTTTTCGGCAGCTTTGGAAAGTGTCCTCTCGGCCGCGAAGTGAGGTGGAGAATATCTCGCCCCACGTGGGGATAAATTAAATCGTCAATGCGCCATCAATCACGCTTCCGGCGAAAGGGAGCTCGAGCGGCCAGGCAAAGGCCGATGAAGAGGTAGAAAGGTATTTCTTTAACAAGCTCGATAGATCGGCCGGAGGTCTTCCTCGTCCAAGAAGTGCACCGTCTTGTAAAAACCTTGCTGAGAAGAAAAAAAGGGGAAAAAAAAGAGGAACGAGGAAAGGATCCCTAACCTCTCGCCCTGCTGCCCTCTCGTCCGTTCGAGCAGTAACTTCTAACAAGTGCTTATGGAACCTCGAGGAAAGTCCTCGAGGGAAAAATCAGGACCTCTGACCATCACACTTTCAACAGTGATGTACAATCTCGCCATTTCTAACGGAATAAAAATAAAACTCGACATAAAAATTGACAATCAATAATTATGACACGGAACCATTTAACAGATGCACTTCGTCCCGATGTGCATCTGGGACAATTAACCCTCTGCGGACAAGTGTCGACAAATAGCCGTGCAAAAGCTTTTAGAAAGGAAAAGTCTCTTCCCTAAAGGGTTAATTTCCATTATAAATGCATAATACATTCGAAATAAGCCATTCCATCGAACAAAAAATCTGGTTTCCCTCTTAAAAATCCAATCTAAAGTAAAATCTCAATTTCAATGTTAATTCTTAAGTCAGATTTATGTTACGTTACGTTATACCAATTCACTACAGAATTATCCGTGGAGCGTCTCGCAGGAGATAATGAATCGCGATCGATCCGTCCATCCGAACAATTGGAAACTATCGAACTCCTTGCCCGATCCCATTACTTCATCGGCGATCTTGGATCTAACAAACGATCCTCCGGGGTGAATAAAGAGGGCAGGGAATCCCTCGTCCCGATGTGCATCTGGGACAATACGTATTGCCGCGACGTGGAAGAAAGTACCGAGGAGGGTCCCTCTGCACGACGTATGACTCCCTGGGTGGTCCGATGCACTTGCACCGCATCCCACGGAAAATCTACGTCCCGGGGTAAGTTCGTTTGTCTCGACGGCTTTGAGGGCTCATCCTCGCATAACTCTCGATTTCACCTCTCGGTATATCTAGATCCTTTTATTTCGTTCCGAGGCAGAAACTAGGTATACCCGTGCAACGTCGGGATACAGCCTGTGTACATATATGTGCATGTATTTATACATATACATGTACATACCTCAAAGCCGTTCGAAACGAGCCGCGAATCTCGGTGCATATAACTGGGCCTACCGAGATCACAACCCTCGTATCATCTCTCGGTACTTTATGCACCTGCAGAGGAAACCCCTGATAACGTCTTATCGGGTATTCCTAAGTAATGGGTTTCGAATCCTGCTCGCCCCTCCGCACGCGACAGAAGTCGATGTCGTTTGACTTCGGAAGACTTTAAGGTTTTAAAGGGGATATATCCGAATTAAATACGGAGAAATTTCTCGAGTGAATTACTATTATTATTTCTGTTGTTGTTATATATGACTACAATCTTATGGACGGAGCGACGTAAATCTATGAGGATTATTTGGTGAGATGTCGGGAAAACTCGGGTTAGTTAGCCATTATGTAATCAGTAATTTCCATTAATGTTAATGTATGGTAAGATTAATAGATAATAATGAAATAAAATGTGATAACTTTAGATAGTAGTTTAAGAACGAAGAATTAAAAAATGCTTTCATCTTCTCCGGTATGGTCTAGTGGCTAGGATACCTGGCTTTCACCCAGGAGGCTCGGGTTCGATTCCCGGTACCGGAAAAACTTTTTTTTTTTCGCTAAAAATTGTAATCGTTAGTTACAATATTAACAACAATCGTTACTATCAATTAAAACATTACGTAAGTTTGTTAATATAAACTTAAATTAAAATCTTAGAAGAGTTCAATCATACAGGTATATCGTCGCGGTATACGCAGATTTTCCAGTTATATAGTGAAAATTTAGTAAATAAAATATTATAAATATTTTATTACGCTTGTATTAAAATTGCAATAAAAATGTTCGCGCTTCGTTGGGAACTGTTCACGCCTTTTTATCGGAACCTATCAAGCCATGAATTGTAACAAAATATTGAGGGAATGGGACCGATACCGAGTGGAAAGAAAAGTCAATTATATCAGTGCCGATCGAATCGATAAACTTTCCGCATTCATGTCTCTTTGAACGGCTCTCGAAACGCCATGGATATCGAATCGCGACTCGTATAGAGCCGTGGTGATATAAATCAACGGCGCGCAATATTTATAACCGTTTGGTTTCTAAAGCGATACAACTCGATACGATCGCGTTTGTCAATATATCGGAGCAGTGCCTATTAATTTCCTGAATTTCAGGGCACATCTTTCTTTTAACTCGAACAATAAAACTGAGCATTTCTTTCGGCGCCGAGGAATTGGGTTACGCACTCCCTTCTCGATCTCGAAGAAAGGGTGTCTACCTTCTGGCACACCTTATTTCACCTTACGCGTTATTTCACCTCGAGGTTGTAGAAACGTGGCGGGGACAGTTTTATTTACTCTTCGTGTATTTACGGAAGTTATCGGCCGCCGTAAACCGTATTAAATGAAATCCACTGCGTTCGGCCCCCGGGCGAACCGAAAGCGTTTGGGCGGGCTTTCGGAAGATTTACCGAGGCAAAACGTAATGGGCTCCAGGATTCGGCCAGTTGCCGAAAACCTCAGCAACAGTCGCCAGCGATATCCCTAATTCTCCGAAGCTTCCTCCCCCAGGAGATGCCGGGGACGAAGTAGGCCCTCGACATTACGCGCCACTTCGGAAATCAAATTTCCTCTCTCGCAGATGAGCGCATCGCAAATTGCCATTAAACGTCGAAACGCTTTCCGAGTGTGTCCGATGTTCCCATTTGTCCAGAAAATGAATTTTCCCAGCGCCAAGTAAATCGCCCCAGGACGACTTTCGGACATTTCTCAGGGAACTAAAGCAACCCCTAGTGTTAGGACTAGTCCATAATCTAATAATTATAACGCTAATTTCTAATTTGGAATACTCTCGGCAGCGATCTGGGTGTTCTATACTTCCTTATTTCAAGTTCTGATGCTGAGTGTAAGGCGAAGATGAGAGTGAAAGTTTGCATTGAAAGTGGAAAGATAGAAGGATATTCGGATAGTGAAGAGGAAAACTTCTTGAAAGGGTGTCGTAGCAAGAAAAGGATGCGCATTCTTTCTAGTTCTGACTCCGAGGATGAGAGGACGAGCATTCCAATCATTTCCGTGATAATTTTTAAAAAAGGACTTTTCACTTATTAATAATTCATTTAAACGTAAAGCCTAGGGTTGTTTCATTCAGACTTAAATTGAATAAATCGATTTTTTAAAGAATATGCGTGTTTTCGTTTACCCGTCAATTTGACGGATACTCGTAGAAACAGGTATATATAAAACGCCCGTAAACCTAGTGTTAAAGACAATCAAGTCTCACCGCGACTTCAAATAGTCACCCGCTAATTCGTACCTTGCGACCGCCGCTTATAATAGTTTCATATTAAAAAATTGTCATCTGAATTAACTGTTATTTTTAATAAATTATCTTTGTTACGGATCCAAGTCATATACCCGAATTCATAAAACCGACCTGACGCGAGATTTCCTCGAGAATTGACAGGTCTCCGAATTTTGGCTTTCGCATCTAGTGCAACCCGGTTTCCGACTTTCCTTCGAACATCCGCAACACCTAGCAATCTACGTACACCCCTCCCTTAATTTACGCAGCGCTTTTTTTTTTTTTTTACGCGGTAAATTATAACACGATTTACGCGGTTTTGTAACGTCATTGTTTCCTATTGTTAAGCTATTTGAAATAAACACCTATTTTTAAAACTTATACGAAATAGCTTTCATTTCCAATCTGTTCTCTTTCGTACCGACAGACTTTATTTTAAGTGATTTTCATTCGCGCAAATACGAATCCACGCTAAATGAACACTCCGTGAAAATGGAGGGACGGCTGTAGTTTCGGTTTCCTTCCTACGTTTGTCCAAAAATCCGGCTGGACCTCTCAAATTTCCAGGGCAACCGCTAGTTAGCGCCTTCGATAGCGGCGATATATTGATTACTTTAATCGCATCTCGTTGGCCGACAAAAATTGTACTTTCAACGCACGGCTCTGTCCCTGTTACTTGCATTACTGGGACAAAGCCCCGTGGCAGGATGCATATTATTGCAGGACGCGAGATCGACGAGGCGAAAAAACCAGTCGATTTAACTCAATAAATTAAATAACATTGCCTGTACATTTCCGGGGTTTTAGGCAAATTGCCATTGGCCTGGAACTTTTCGACTCCGTGTTATCGTTTCGATAGCTCGGTATCCGAGTTTTAATGACGTCCTTGCAAAGTGGGATGCGATTTCAAGTAAAGTTCCCGAAGATGGAGGCGGATCGCGGAATTATTGGATAGAAAAGTAGGTATTTACGTTTGGTAAGAGAGAGAAAAATAAAAAAGGAGAAAAATCAATTCTGACGACTTACTGGAGAGGAAGAGGTCCTGGAGGGCCTGGGCAGCCTGGCAAAGTAGGGCCCAGGTTTCCGCAGCCGCGAGTCCTGCACCCCTTAGAGCAAGGACATCTCCTGCTACCACGGCGAGGCCGACCCCGCCAACCGGCTCTGCTGGCATCCTGAAAGCAGAAAAATAATTGTTTTCCCTTCCTGCGAATTCTCTTTTCTAAATAAAACATCGGATTTCATGAAAACTTTCGAATGTCGATCATTTCCAATACTCGGGTTAACCTTTTGCAAGGATTTTCAAGGACTGCGCCATCAGCAGACGAATTCAAAGGGGGCTATCTCGCAAGGATTTTCGTAAGGATATAAATTGACGATAAGTTTCATGAAATTATACGTAACAACGAATCTTTAACGCGATAACTGTCACACCTTTTCCCGTCCTGCTGCGACCTGGGAGTGAAATGAAAAACGAAAACCGCGAGAAGGACCGTCACTCCCGTTTTCAATTCCATTAGATACCCCCTTGCAGAATCAGCTGGTCGGATGCCCTCCACCTTTGCGTTTTCCACCAATCACTCTTTAAGGCGGCTCGTTTAATCTCACTTTTGCCGGCCACGAGGCGAATCCGGAATCGTATGAAAGAGCGCTGAGATCGAGATATCGACGTCGCTTCTTCTCGAGCTTTGTTCAATTACCATGCCCGCGATAAAGAAGTTCGTACAAAGTGCAGGCCGGACATGCTTTTAATGCTCCTGGATTTCACCCGGCGAGTAAATCCTCTGGCGATTACCTTTGAGCCTTGCCTTTTAACCACGGTCAGACTTGTCAGGATTTAATGTCGTAAATTTTTTACTCCCGAAAGCAGTTTCCCGTATTAAACAGGGACATGTGCGCATCGCGATTTTAACTGCAAGCTCTTTTTAATTATTTTTCTCATCTTCTTCAATGTTGACTACAGAAACCCGACGTCGCGTCGTTTGAGTAAACGTTTAACGAACGGTGCAGGTAATTTAATCTTCCGCTTAAATTGTTCTTCATATTTGTTGTATTATTTGTTTTTCTCCGTGGATGGAAACATTGTTGAGTTTTAGTCAACGTTTAATTACAGGTGGAATGCCCTGGAAGGGATGATAGGATGCACTTTAGTGTCAATGATTCAATTATGCTGAAACTGTTCTCAGCCACCCTGGATTGCTGGATCCTCACTGAGGAGAACCTTGTCCCAGGTCAGGAAGCAGTTCATGTCGTGTAATACCTTTCCCCACAGCAGAAGCCGAATTGTGCCGCAATTGCCAGAGCATCGTCGGTACGTACAATGGGAAATAAACTATTGACATGTAATATTCCCGTGCGAGTACTTGCAATGGCCGTTGACATGGAAATTGAGACCTACAATTCGTCAGTTTTAATAACAAAGTGCATCATACAATTTTATCTTGCAACTCGATTTATGGGACCACGAGATCAGTTTACACCAAACTCTAATGAGATAATCTGGCGACTAGTCAATCAGACTACACCATATAACTTCCAATCTAGGAAATTGAGTATCGTATAAAGAAAGAAATTGAAACTCGCTTCGATTATCGAAATAGCCGTCGAAAAGAATGGATAATCCGATTAAAGTGTGCAGGAAAAACTGATACGTATTACTGAATTTTTTTTCTTCCCAGCTCTTCACACCGCACGTTTCATTAAGTGAATTACTCCCTTTCGGAAGTGCACGGCGAGTCCTGCGAGGATGCCCCTTTTCCCGTCTGCATCCTTAAAACTTGCCGGAACACCCGAGCCCTCTCAAAAGTGATCTCTTCTGCTCCAAAACACGGGGAAACTCTGCAAAAGCAATAACTTCTCGCTGCAAATACCCTACCGGAAGGCACTCCTCCCTCGGCCGAGGGAAGTTAACGTCGCGAGGCAAATCTGCCGCGAGTTTAAGGGACAATCTGAAGGGGTGCATGCGCTGCACTTGAAAAATTCGAGAACCCCTCGAGCCGGTCCGCGATACGGACTCTAATTCCCGCGATAAAAAAGTTTCCCAATCCCTCCTCCCTACTCCCCGAAAAATCTCTCGTTACCCTCACCGTCGACTTCCGGAGAGGGAAGTTCTTGGCATTTTTTTTCTAGACCCCTGAAGATTGCCGAACATTCCTTTTTTTTTCTTTTTTACTTTTCAAAATCGAGATCATTTAACGTCGAAGGAACAGAACTGAATTCAGCTTGTTGGACAACCTCGAGGGGACCTTCCAATTCCAGCGACCTCGTGAATCCCGGAATGCAATTCGACTGACCATGGATCTAATACTTCGCTCGACTTCCGGTTCCACGCTTGGTTAACCGTGTCGATATCCGGTCTGTCATGCCATCAATAAACGCGTCGACATTGTCGGGACCTCCTCGAAATACAGTGTCGGTCACTCCTCGTCTCTAGACGTGTGTATATTCTTGTGATACGGTACCGATTTCGGGATGCACCGAGTGCATCGCGAGTCCCTTCGAAGTCCCGTCAAAAATGCATACATCGCGACATGTGGGTGGCGTCATTAACAAACGCCGAATTAAAGGGCACCGCGCATTGCCCATAGATGTATGTTAAAATATTATACAATAATGTATGTTAAAATATTATACAATAATATTTTAACATACATCTATGGGCAATGCGCGTATAATAAAAAATAACTTGGCGTAATTGCACCCGGCACTCCACTGTATTCATTCAGAGCTCTCGGAGTCTATTTAGGAATTCTACGAAGCAGTATTCAAACTCCACGAAGTTCTGCCCATTTTGGGCGAGCCAAATGGTGCGCCTCGTAATGCTCGTATACCGGAGGGCTTGTGTAAAATTTAATAGAATATGAGGCGTAATAGATGACGCTTAATTATTTAGGCGATTTGTGCGAGGAACTTTCGCTGAGTGGCCATCCCGCCTTGGTTGACAGTTTCTCGATAGTCGATGGAAAGTGCAGGGATAAAATAGCAAATATATATATATAATATTTATTTTACGAGCTACGGAATTGTGTGAAATTTGTATGAAATTAAGTAGAACACGAGAAGATGTTCCATTATTTTGACCATTTACGTGAAGCATTTTAATCGAGAAATTTTCTTTTCCCTGGTTGATATTTCTTTGAGTGCCAATGAAAAGTGCAAAGGAAAGTATCAAATTAAGCAATGTATATTTTAGAGCCTTGGAAATATTGCATACTGCATAGGAGAAATACAGAATGTATTAATCAACCTATACTGGTATAATTTATTTCATTTTCGAGAAATTAAATATATTTATTTCTAATAAGTGTGTGGATATTTCGATCCTCTGTATATAAAAAGATCTTGACGTGTAGAGATCGGACGATTCTTTGGTCCCGATACGAATTTCCGAGGGACTCGAGTCGGAATTTGCACGTAGAAATTCCAAACTTTGTCCGAGAGCACTGAATGGGATTCTGCAGGACCGATGAAATCCTCCTGAAAAGGATGCGACCTGATACGTATACGAAAGTTCGATGCATAAAGCGCGGATCCCTCTGTGCCTCGAACTTCGCGAAAATGTCGATTCGAGAGAAACTTCCATGGCGAAGGAACGGCAGGATTGCGGAGACGGCGGCATACGCGGAAAAATGAAAAAAAAATCGTCTAATAGAAATTCTAATAATTTCCGGCAATCAATATCTAGCCCCAAGGGATATCGATTGGGAAAAATACGTCCTGACCGGAAAGCAAGAAATTTATTCGGCATTCTCGAAATGCCAGCACATCCGCTAATAAACTTCGGTTTCGAACGACCAATGCGAAACATATCGCCTTTTTATTATTTTCAGCTTTTATATATATATACATATATACTGCAAGTATTGATTCCTATCAGCAGTGCACTTCTTGACCTTCATTCGGCAGTGCATCAAAGCGCGATAAAACCACAGCGAAAAAATTCAAAATTCTGTTTTCGATATTTTCGGTTACGATAAATTGCACCAGTCCATGTGTAGTGCACTTCTACTCGTGGAAGGTACAAAAAAGTGAACTTTCTATTTTTTTTTTGGTTTATCAAATGAACTTTTATATCCGCGCGAATTGAATTCTTTGGTTATTTCCTGCACCTGTGAACAGGATTCATCCTTGTGTATGGCATTTATATTTTTTCTCATATTATCGTCGCATATTTCGCATATAATCGCAGAATTAAATCCATGCATTTAATTCTATCGCACGTGCCCTATGCACGCCATAAACATGTTCAGAATGTTCGCATACTACGCGGACGAATTCCTATCAAGAAAGCGTTTCCAACCCTTAACATTACATGTTTAAAATGCAGATGTATGATATAACGACATTGGGTCATTGGTCCAATATTAGAAATCTGTACTTTACACGTGCAATCGAGTTCTTCATATTTTTCACGCAGGTGAAATTTAAAAGAATCGCAAAGAAGTGAAACATGAGTCCATCTTTTTATAAGTGAAACATTTCTATTTCTTCCGTACATGAATGACACGATGACGTCGGGTCGAATTTCAATTTAAGGATTAAACATCATACGTGGACGTCTTATCGGGTGAGTAAAAAAGGGAGAAAAATTCAATTCTTTCCGGCAATTCCCAGGAGCCAAGGTGTGCATTCATCCATGCACGTTACATTATAGTGGAAGAAGCCCATGCATGAATTTTTTCTTAACCTATGCTCAAGACTCACCTTAAACATCATCGATGGGCGCATCGGGCCGCGGAGGTGTGGCCGAGGTGATGACCTCGTGTGAGGCTACCGCATGGTCCCTCGATCCCGGAAAGTAATACGCCAGGCAGGAGACCCCGACGAGGAACAGGAAGAACAGGAACACGAGGTCGAACATCAGGAGGGAATTCAAGGTCATTAGCTGCATCGTGCAACCACCTTCACCATTACACACGAGCACCAACCACGGTCCGATCGCACCTTACACCATTATTCGGGTAGCACCACCCTCCGAAAAGTTCCCTTCACGGCGACCCCACCCTTCGTTTTCAAGGCCGCTGTGGACGTATCAAACTTAAATCGATCGATCGATCGGAAAGTAAGGAAAGAAATTGCAAAACAGAAATGTCCCCTAAGAACGTCCCCCCAGGAATCCCCGATTTTCCCATGATCTTCGAAGCGAAGTCGCGAAGTGAAGGGAATGCTCAGTGAT